CCCCCCCTCCGTACGCCTATGGGTAGTGACAAAAACACCAGATAATACAGATGGTATGGATTCAACTACCTGAAAAATACAAGCAAACGAAGGCTTGTTATGACTCCAGTTGCACACAGAGTTCACAGCCATTGCATTTGTCTACATTGCATTGTGGGAACGTGCTCCACTGATCTCTGATCTATTGTGGATGTGTGAAATATTCGTATCGATAACAAAACGTCAGCGACTCAGGGGAAATGCCGATCAATCACTTTTATATAAATCGAAATTTTTAACTACAAAACAGTCCTTTTTACGAAGGAAAAGACAGCAGGGACTTTTAGTTCAATAAATTCAACGCGTTCGCCATGCTTTTATTGAGAAAATTTACCAGAATTCGACGTTGGAGGCGAAGTATAAAATGGTATTGGATGTCGTGGACCGCTCTGCTTTTGGGTATACTTTTTATAAGCTTTCAAATTCAACATCCGATGTACTTTCGTAAATTCCGCAACGTGAAAATGTCTAGAGAATGTAGTTCGCGGGAAATTTTAGAAGAATTAGTTTATTTGACAAAGGATATTCATGAAATTTTATCTGGATTAAACTTAACGGATTTTTTACTCTATGGCTCCCACTGGGGGGCGATACGTGTCGGGGGGCCACTCCCTTGGGACGATGACGTAGACCTGGGTTTAATTGCTGATAGTAATTATATATTGTTAACTGAAGATGAGTTTGTTAATGAATTTACGAGCCGCGGTATGACGGTAACGAACAACATGGCACAGAAGACGTCGCTTAAGGTTACCCGTGGTATTGCTAACGTGGACGTGATTGTATACTACGATTATAATGGGCTCATGAAACGCCAAGGCTGGGAGCCCTTTTTGATACCCGTGCATTATCGATTACATCATAGCTTTCCAACGTGGGTTGTCAAGACACCTCCGGCGCTTCCGACAATGCGGTTTGGAGTCTTCAATATGAGCGTGCCACGGGGCGAACGTGAAGTTATGAAGTATTTGTACCGTTATAACTGGTGGCAAGATTTTGAACCAGAAGGAGACTGTGATGTTATACAATGGTAGTTAGTTAGAGTAAGTATATCTTTGTATTGAAAAAGAATCCTCTGAATGAATATGAGAAACTATTTCATATTACAAAGGGAAATAGTTTTATTTAACCCATTGAGTCGCATTCTGCCCTGATGCGCCCTACTTTATTATTTTACTCTGTCTAATGCCAGACGATTTTACTCATCAAGGGAGAGCGCTGGCACTTAATGAGTTACACATTATATATTTTTTAGACACCCTGTATAGTGATTAGTGACAAAAGGGGGTCAACAACATTCTTACAACAATTGTATTTCATGACAAAACTCTATATAGTGTAATCGAGTTTAAAAGAAGTTGCTTCAACAATTTCAGAAGCATAACCTGCATTGCCTGTTGTGTATTTTTCTTCTCTTTTACATTCTTTATTTTAACACAAACTTTGAAAATGGTAGTTTATAAACTTGTGAGTTGTGCAGCCATTTTGTTTATTTATGTACATAGCCAGTCGGGATTGGCAACAACTTTTCACTTGTTGCTAGACAGCAAATATATGTTATCCACTGAGAAAGAGGTCCGAACAGTAGGATATTAGATTAACAACAACATATTTTCAGGGATTAATTAATATTTTAAAAGTTGAAAACCGAACAATTTTTAGTCCAGTTCACTAAAATGGCCATTCAGTGGTGGCAAGTACGTGTTAAGCTTATTCTGTCAGCATTTTAATAAACTATTAAGAGGAGATTTTTTTGTATGTTACGTAACACACGTTCAAAACTAATGCGTTAATAATATATCACTTGAGGTTATGACTAAATTCAAAATTTTTATTTTTCGATACGTTTCTCAATTGGCAAACAAACCTAAAAAGTATGTTTAGTGCTTTATCTGTAAAATAATACTAAAATGAAAAGATTTTAGATGATACGCCAAAGAGAAAATGATGTCTGCTTTGTCTGATGGCTGTAAATATGGCGTCAATTTTAAAGCATCATTGATAATTGTATTTTAATTGACAATTTTTAACTATTATTTTATGTTTCTCAACTGGCAGATGCATTTAAAAAGGTAGCTAACTCTATAAACTAGAGAATAAAGCTAAAACAAAGTAATTTTGAGAGGAACGCCAAAAAGATTTTAGGTTTTGAACACTTTTCATTGCAAATACGTGACATTGAAAAAAATTGCCTCTTAATTAACCTATTTTGT